CCTTTGTTTAACCCAATTTTAAATGTCAAAATAAAGGTTTATCTCAACCCTTACAGTCTATTAGTGGTGCAGTTGAAAGCTGCAACATACATAGTATTTGGACCTTTGAGATGTCATCGTTTACAAATACGAATGTTTGCCAGAGTTTAAAACTTTCCAGCTGCTCAGGTGTGATTTATTCTACTCTCTGGAGTACTTTTACTGTGAAACATCTTCATGAAGTTCAAGGAAAAAAATGTATTAATAAGTTAGTAGGCCATGCTTATATTTTTGAATTGATAGATAAAAGAATCTGTGCAAATCTCTCTCTCTTTCTTTACTTGCCAAAAAACACTTGTTTAAGAACCTTTAATATATTATTAATAGCCTTTGTTGAAAATGCAGAAACATACAGCATGCAAGAGCAGTGGAAAAAGACGTGACTAACAAAAGTCTTGTTTGAAAAATGTTTGAAAGCTGGGAAAGCGGCAGCAAAATAAAGAGCAAAGCTGTGAGCAATTTGATATTTTTGAAGACTCTGTTTGGAGTATTTTTCATTCTGTGCGTGCCTGTGTGAATGAAATCAGGCCATCGAGTGGTGTTTATATTGATGTGTGAAGTTTATTTATCTGCAATTCATCTGTCTGAGACGACACAGAGGCTCTGTGTTGTTCCCATTCTGAGCTCCCGCTATCATTAGCCATGACAGAGTAAAGCTGTATTGAGCGGCGGCCTGTACCTCATATTAAATAATGTGTGTTTGTGTGTCTTTGTGTGGGTGTGTGTTACGCGGAACTACAGCAGGCTGTCTGATACTGCTGACAGCAGCAGTTTGGAGGCCTTGTTTGGCCCTTCTCACTACATGCTGTTGCGATCACCATTAAAATGCATTCCGGTACAATGTGACATGACTTCATTTGATTGCTGAAGTGTTTCTGGGTTTAGTGAATGAGTCCCTTGGCTGACAGTTCGAACAATAACTGCAACAACATGCACCGACACACTGTATTGTGTGTCAGTGTGAAAAATGACAACCAAGGCATACTGGGAGCACAGCTTCACGGTTATTGTAGACTTAAAGGAGTAGACACCCCACACTTATCAACTACCACGTACACATTTTTGAGTCCTGGCAGAAAGGAGAACATAATTGCTTCGAAGTCATAGAGGAAAACACACTCAACGACAGGTATAGTTACATTCCTAAGCAAACCTTAAATCCTCCATTAGACAGTTTGCATTACTAATTAGGCTTACATTCAAGCAGAAGATGAAAGGAACTGAGGATAAAGTGCTAATTTAAGATGGAATGATGGATGAAAAGACTTCAAAAATTCTGCAGGAGCTGAAACCTGATGAACCGGATTATACATGAATCCTTAGCACTTGCTTTTCCTTTTTCTAAAAGTGTTTTAAGTTAACTCGCTATATGTGATGTTAACTGTCCTAATTAAAGTTGTATAGTAAGCCTTTTGAACAGCAGACATGTTGAGTTTTGATTCTAGGCAAAGCATAGGGAACATGCTTTTAACCATGGAGCCATTTTATTCAAGGTTTTCAGTAATATACGCCACAACGGTGTGACAGTGAGCCACCAGAAAAAAACAGTTTTTGTCCCATTATCTTTGGATAAGAGAAAGATTTTTGTTGTTGACGTCAACTATTGGTGACGGTAATGTAGGAGAAAGTTTCTCATTTTAGAACATTTTATATTGTTTGCCAATTTAGATGTTTAGTTTACTAACTTTTTTTGGGCTTTGGGTTTGTTGGAAACATGGAGCCTTGATTGGGCTAATTCTCTTTTATTTATTGCTTGTTTCCCCTTTGCCACTTCTATAGGAGTGCAGGATTGCTTTCCCAAGCCCCCTGACACTGCAGCAGTTAAGTACACATCAGCCATTTTTAATTTGGTTTATTTATTTAATCGTTTATTTGGCAGGGACCATGCACAGTAATGAACACTTAAAACATTAAAATGTGTCAAGCGTAACAGTGCCAGATTTAGCTTCGAGCTAATTTCCATCCGCAGCCCCTCACATAAAACATTTAAGAAGTTTACATTTTACAAACATAGCAAAAAAAAAATACATGATATGCAAAAGGTGCAAAAGAGCAAGAGCAGCATACACAAGTATTTATGACATGGTAATATAATATAGCAGCAACGACATATAAAGTGCTAGAGAACATACAAGAGCTACCTAAAGCGCAAGAGGAGATACCCCTGTATTAAAGTGCATTTAGCGGTGATTGCACGGATGTTTGTTTCTCAACCATTCTTTGAGTTGACCTTAGAAGCTATTGAGAATGGGACAATCCCGTATCTCAGTTGGGAGGCTATTCCACAATGAGCTGCCTCTAATGGAGAGGACATTTTGTCCAAAAGTGGTCCGTCTATGGTGGACTTCACAGTCTCCTCTGGTTTCTGAATTCCCCTAAGGGAGGGGGGGCCAGTCCATGTAAACATTTATAAATAAAGCACATACTCTTAAAAGACTTAAAATTGTCAAAGCTCAAGAAATTGTGTTTTTCAAGGATGGTACAGTGGTTGTATGAATTTTGCTTTCTGTCAAACACCTTGATAGCTCTCTTGTACAGCTGTTCTATGGGTTTCAGGTTTGTGGCACAAGCAAACGAACAGTTTGTGAAACAATATTCAATGTGGGATAGAATCATACAGTGTCCGAGAATCCAACAGCGTTGAGCAAGCACAGGAACTCCTGAACAGATTGGAGTCAGAGTGGCCTTAGGCTAAACGCCAAGAAAAACATCAAATAACATCTTACCGGAACATCCACCTCTGACAACAACAGAAGGCACTGTGCTTAAAGAAGTCAAGGACTTCAAGTACCTGGGCTCATGGGTCAACTCAACAGAGCCAGGTCTTAAGGTGAGGAAGGCACTTGCATGGAGGGCCCTGAACGGCATGACCAGTGTATGGAACTCCAACCTCCCCCGTCAAATCAAACTCAGCTTCTTCTATGCAACGGTAGAGTCTGTTCTCCTCTATGAAAGTGAATGCTGGACCCTGAAGCCAACCCTGCAAAAGTCTCTAGACGGATGCTACACCAGAATGTTGGGAGCAGTACTTAACATCAGCAAGAGTGTACATTTAACCAACAATATCCTGTACGAGGGAATACCAAGGGTGAGCGAGAAAATTGCAGCCAGGAGAATGAGACTAGCAGGACATTGCCAAAGGCATCAAGAGCTGCCAGCCGGCAAATTGGTGCTGTGGGAACCAACACACGGGCATCTGTCACGAGGACGTCCCGCACAAACATACGTGGACGTACTCAAGAACGACGCAGGACAAGACCAATGAATACAGATGAGACAAACAAGCAACGAGAGCCCCAGACATCGTAGGAGAGAGGATAGTACGTCATCAGAGCAGAGAGGAGCAGAGAGACCCCAGGTGCCCTTGAGTTACTCGTAATCAAAGGTGGCCAATATAGCACAGACAGAAACAGCACACCCATCTCTACTGATGCACCCACAGGGGCATCACATAGAAGTACACACATCCTACCGAAGTAGAGAGTTACAGGATCGCGTTGTTTAAAAATACCCAAGTGAAGTACTGACTAAACTGTCTGTTACTCAAGGTCAAAGTAAAGAGCTTTGAAATGTACTTCAGGAAAAGTACCCATAACTAGCAGCTGTTTTAAGAGTACCTGACCTCCCTTTATAATTATAGAAACAATAATGTCATTGTAGCTGACGGATGAATGGGTTTTCCATGCTGAGACAAGGCAGACGATGGACACGCACCGGGGGTTTCATTGGTCCCTCTTCTTTAGAGAAGACCAGAAATGATGGATACACGGATGTGTTCAAATCAATAGGCACGCAATGACTCTAAATAATAATGATCACGGCCACCCCCCCCCCCAACACACATTCAGGACTAAGGAACGCCCAGCCTGTTTTGGAAATGAGGAGAAGTAGAACAGTACAGTATTATTAAATGTAAAAAGTAAAACGGTATTTGAGTTCAACATGTAGAAGTAGAAAGTACCAGGTATTGTGTTCAGAAGGTGTAAGAAGTAGGAAAGTACAGTATTTGAGTTCAGAATGTAAGAAGTAGAAAGTACAGGTATTTGAGTTCAACATTGTGAGAAGTAGAACTGTAGAGGATTTTGAGTTCAACATGTAAGGAAGTAGAAATACAGGGTATTTAGTGTTCAACATGTGAGAAGTAGGGAAACTGTATGTGTTGTGTCTTATTGTTGAGCACTGCGTAGAATAGTACTGTACTGTATTGAGCTTCATTATACTCGCTAAGAAGCACTTCAGAGGTAGAACAGGAGGAAACAGAATACATGTGGGAGTTTCAAACATGTAAGAAGTAGAATGCAGCTAATCGGTTCGCTANATTGAATGCTTTGACAATAAATACGTAAAAATATTTTATCTGTGGAAGCCGTGGCGCTGTAAAAAGCACGACCAATCATCTGAGGCGGCCCAGCTAAAGTAACTGGATGGCCTACCTGCCTGTCAGCCTTCCATCTGTGCGCAAACTTATCTCGTGCCCTCATTGGTCATGTGCGCGTTCGTGTGTGTTGGAGGAGGGGCTCTGTGAGGAAGTCTGAAGGAAGGGGCAGATTTTTTTCGGCTGCTTACTTTCCAATTCTAGCGCACTCGAGCTGGTTTCTCCTTTCTTACCTACCCTACCTTTTAACGTGAGCAAATGTATTCCAGGTCTCAAGTCTTTGGAAATGTTAGAAATGAGACAATGACCTTTCAGTCAGCGTTACACAGTGATAAAGGTCTTGCTATCAATGAGTAACTCGGCTAGTATTGTCAAAGCAAATACCTGTAATTGTTATATTAATCATTCTTAAAAAGCGGTATCTTGTGTGTGTTGGTGCACATGCTGAAGCTTAGACATCCCACAGTACATGATGAAGCATTGCATACTCGTGTTAAGTCATTTGAATCATCTGGATGTATTTTAAATGTACAACAGGCTTGGTAATAACATAAATGTGTTTGTTTGACCTTTGACTTCTCAACAGACATAGCAGAAACTCTGCGTTTCCTCTTGTGTGGTGCATCAAACGGCAGCTGCCAGGAGCAGATTGAACTGGTACCCCGCAGCCCCCAGGAGCTCTACGAACTGACCTCCCTCATATGGTAACATCTATTCACCTATGATCAACCT